AAGCGTCACGGCCGCGGGACGCTGATCCGCGCGGAGTTGCGATGGAACGACGTATCCTCGAGGGCCATGCGGGCGCCGCCGGTAACACCGAGCCCGCCGGCGGAGAAGTTGGCCTCGTTGCCGACGAAGGTCGACCCCACGACGGCGACGTCGCTGCTCACGTCCCAGCTTCGCCAGGTGCCGTTCTTCGCGTACGCGCAGGGCTGTCGGGAGTAGGGATCTATCTCGACCGGGCAGCGCGCGCACTCGACGCGCGGCTTTGGCGCTTGGAATTCGACGAAGAGGCCGCCGCCGCGCGAGCGGCACCGGTTCTCCGCAAAGACCGCGTCGCGGACGACGAGGGACTCGGAGATGTTGCGGAGGTACGCGCCGCCGCCGCCGCCCGTTTCCGCGACGTTGCCGCGGAAGACGAGGCCCGGACCGAGGGTCACGCGGCCCGCGCTCACCACGTTAACGCCGCCGCCGTCGCCGGTCGTCGCCCGACAGGAAGAGAATGTGCAGCGCCGCAGGTCGAGGTCGCTCTCGATGGGCGATACGCCAGAATACCCTTTGCTGCTTTCCAGGTGGACGGCGCCGCCGACCGCCGCGGCGCACCGGTCGAAGGTCACGCCGACGGCCGCCACGGCGCCCCCGGACACGAGGACCGCGCCGCCGTAGTGGTTCGCGGCGGTGCCTTCGAAGACCGTGTCCTCGAGCTCGAGCGACCGCGCCGCCGGACCGTACCCGCCGGACCCGCCGCCTTCGAACGCGACGGCACCACCCCCTTCCCCCGCGCTCGTCGATCGGAAGAGCGAGCGCGAGACGCTGCAGTTCGACTTCGCGCAGCAGAGGGCGCCGCCAGTGAACGAGCTTTGCGTCCCTACGAACGTGCTGGCGACGATCGTCGCCTCGCCCCCCCAAATTGCAATTGCGCCGCCTCCTACCCCGGCGGAGGTCCGCGCAAAAGAAACGTTCCGCAGCGTCACCTCGCTAAGATACGCGTAGATGGCGCCGCCGGAGTGGTTCGCCGCGCAGCGTTCGAACGACGCGT